AAAGCACGACTAAAGAGATCCTTTTCACTTATTTTCTTCCCTCTATTGAATGTGGGGGCCAATAACTTGAACAACACTCCAATGGTAACCGCAAATGGGAGCTGCCCTAAAGAATTAAAAATGTCGGCAATTTAGAGATGGACCACCTCAACCACGGGTTTGCCGATATCGACAAAAGAAAGGCAGGCCAATAGGGGGTACATCTGCTCCGAGGGCCTCCCCTCATTGGTTACAGGGGGTTGGCCGGGACCATGACGTCACCTTCACCCCATGCCCAACGAAAGTTATGAGATGGCTTCCAAAAATGTGCACAATTCACCAGATGATTTCTTGTTGTCCAAACAAGGGGATATCTCCAGCATCAAAAGGTCCACTCCATTTGACACGCGAGCCTTCTAATGAACAATAGTTATAGATCGTCAAAGGAGGTGTCAAATTTATGGGCCATGAACGCCAGAAAAATGCGTAAACATGCCACTTTTGACATTAGATGAACATTAATTAGAGAGAGGCCAATGCGCGTTCGTCCCGTCTATTTCTCAACAACTTCTTCCGCACCTGCGGAAATGAGGGGTAACATGAGGGTGAGGGTACATTGCCCAGAAATATCCCTTTTGAATACATTGTTAAACATATGAAGATGCCTCCCACCATAGCTCAAAAAAACGTTGGATGACGAAATCTAAAAATACAAACGGCTGTAGGGGAATCACGCCCGAACAGTATATAAAGCAGAGGTGGGCAACCTCAGCTGGGCACGGAGCTGTAATCATAAAATTATTAAGGTTCCAATTGTAAGGGACCTAACCTGATTACAAGGGTTGTCGTATATTTGTGTGGTAGGGTACCATCGAGCGATGGCGCACGCGCGTGATTGAACTGTGAGGGCAAAATGGTTTGAATTTTTATGCGCGTGTTTGGACATTTTCTGTTTCATAAAAAAAATGGAATTAAAAGATGATGATTTAGATTCAATAATCATAAGTGTAAATGAATGTGGAATGCTCATGAACTTGAGAAAGTAATATTTCATCGCCAATTAAAGATTGTGAGAAATTTGTTCATTAAAATTTGGCATCGAGAGCGGCAAATATAGAAATGAAAAATTTGAAAGTGTATGTCAATTCAGGACTATTAACAACATGGTAATATTTAATAATTGTTTCCCAAACAATATTTCAATTATAATTTCAAAATTATTTCAAGAAATCTATGAAAGATACGAAGTCCTCTTTTATAAAGATGAATAAAAATAACCAATAACCAATCAGAAGGATAATAACAAAAAAAAACAATAATTAAAAAAATGTTTCCATTAGAGAGATAGAAAATTTTTCTATTTCACCTTTACTACCACCAAGTTTTTGCCGAATATCCCCACTACTCTCACCTACGTGCAGGGCATCATGGGCCCGAAGGAGGTGCAGCCATAAACTTTATGGCTTGGGACAATTTTGCCTAATGGAGGTTGGGAGCTAGAATAGCTCCAAGAGCTGAGGTTGCCCACCTCTGATATAAAGGGCGGTTTTTCGCCAAATGAAGTCAGTCTCAATTAATTCTTCGACTCGAAATCTTCAAGTGGTACCCTGCTCGTCATCCAGTTCAACTCTCCAGGCCCAGTCTTCAAGGGGGTAACTCTGCAGGACCACCCTCTGATGTCACCACTGGGCGCAGTCCGAGCGTACAACTCGATTTTCCTTGCAACCTCAGATTGAGTGCGCAACTTTAATCACAACCAACGAGTCCAAAGTAAAATTTCGATCTTCGTTATTAACAAGGGGCCCTGCTCATTACTAAAGCTGACCCTTTAAGATCCGTCTGTTGGGAAGCAGCTTTGCAGCATCACCTACTCTCATTACTACAAGCTCGAGTAAACAACTCGATTGTCTGCAGTGCGTCAGATAGACCGCATTTCTGCAAACCAGCAACGACCTGGTAAATCGCTCAGCGTACAACTGAGCTCATCCTGAGTGCATAACTCAGGGAATCTTCTCGTCAAGCCAGCACCGACCTGGTAAAACTCTCAGTGTACACCTGAGTTCATCTCGAGCGTTCAGCCGAGGATATTTCTTCAAGCCAGCACCGACCTGGCGAAAGACTCAGCGTACAACTGAGTTTGCCCCGAGTGTCCAGCTTCGGGATCTCTCTACGCCTAGCAACATAAAGCTACCGAGCAACCAAGTTCTGCCTGAGTGGACCACTCAGGCCTATTAACACCACCAACACCTCCGGAGTCACATCATCGTCATCACCAGCGCTAAAGAAGCGTGTTTGAGTAGTTTTCAACTACATTAGTGCTAGAGGATCTAGCATACTTTTGGAGTTCTCCGGAACCCACTGCGAAGAGGACTCACCAAGAGATCACCCCTTTCCTGCTGCCGTTTATTTCTACAATCTTCAGTCAGAAAAACACACCAACAATATTTACACTATTCCCTCCTACACTTTTTTCCTATCTACCCCTGGTTTTTAGCTTGGACTTTTTTTCTATTCTGTATCTCAAGTGAAGTGTAATAAATTTAAATTCTATTTTAAGAGAAACCTAAAGGTATCGTTCTTTTTGTGTGCTAATTCCTCATATTAGAACCATTCTGTACTTCAGTACATACTCCCACGCAATAGGCCTAATTGAGATTTATAAGATCCTTTCTCCTCCCGACACTACCTGTCGTGACTAGTTACGGTCAACTCATCTGAAGGTACTCGATATTTGGACAATACTCGACAATACTCGATATTTCGACCTACCTAGTGACCAAGTGTCCGCTACACTTCTTCTACCCTAGTTGTGCGCCTTGGAAAAAAATTCAGAATTCAGGGTCTGTTACACAGACCAACAGTAGCCGGTAGAAAGTGACTGACTCGGAACCTGGTACATTTAATCAGTTGAACATCTTCAAGACATATAATTAATCAGTTTTTGTGTTTCCGTAGTCGTACAAAAATTTTCACGCCGCTTCTCTTCTAATGGTATGTGATGTTTATAATTCACCTAACTACGGTTATATTCTATTCAACGTGTAGTAAGGTACAACACTTGATGAAAAACAAATCTCAGACAGGTACAGTCCTCCGCTTCGAGACTGTCACTCAGACGATAAAATAAATGATTAAATTTGAAAATTCCTTTGACTTTCTTATGACCGGGTATTGAACCATAGCCCTCCGCATGTCACTCCGCCTCCTACCCTCATGGCCACCGCCGTCGCTAATATTTTCTTATTATCTTGTATTTATGCCATCGGTGCCCGTAATCACGCGATTCTAACCTCGCTTCGCTCGGTTAAATCGCGGATTCCGGGCGCAATGACATAAAATTTTGTATGAAACGCGTGCGTAATATATTTTTCGACTCGTGGGATTGTAAAACTCGCCTTCGGCTCGTGTTACAAACCTCCCACGAGTCAAAAAATATATTACGCACGTGTTGCATAATATACTATTTTCACATTGCCCTTTCAACAGTCTTTAAGTAAAAAGTTCGGTAAGAGTATGTCAGAGCTCCTGCTATGTCCAACATATTTTGTTCTATAATTCTTTTATTTCGAGGTATATCATACAGTAAATAGATATCCGTAGCGTCTGAACAGAGCAGCTATTAATAACCTTAACCTCCTTGAGCCATCTCACTTATTTTGGGGGATGCTCATGTAGGTATACAGTCTACTTCGCTTTTCCTTTAAGGAGCAGTTAATCTATAATTAACTATATAAAATTATGAAGTATTTACTAAAATTCCTCGCGTGGTGAAGCACTTTTAAAAAAAAAGTTTCAAGCCTCAGCAGCACTCAGCGTAGTCCAGGTTCGCGACGGGTATGATTTACGCAACTGGTATGATTCCCCCAAAGGTTGACTTAGACCGGTCTTCTCCCCCTAGTTATAGGTATATAGTATATAGTAGTGCGACTCAATATGTACTCTTTCCTCTGTTTTTGATAGGTATTAAGATAAATACTAACTCAGAAAAATAGGAAATTAAAAAAAACTAAACTTGTCCACACATGTATACCCTTTCATGCTTTTACATTTCCCACCCCCAGTTCCCCCTGTATCGCGATTACGCCGAGGGCCAAAGGAAAAACCTCATGGGAAAAAACCTTGGCCACGTACAGTCGTCTCTTTCGAGACTATCGCTCGTACAATGAAAACCTGAGCAAGTTAGAGCGAACTCTATATCTCTAAAAAAACCCCTGGCATTTTCCCGACTGGGAATCGCACCCACGAATCTCATGTGCCAACCCCCTACGCTATAACCGCACGGCCACCGCACGTCGGTTCAGATAGGAAATTATATGCAGTGCTTTATTATATTAGTACTAACAGTTTTTAACAATATGCGTAATTCAATTCGTGTGAATCGTGACTATTTATTCTCTCCACCTCATTCAGGGCAACGCTCTTTTTGGTTCACTCGTCGTTGGTAGTAGAACAGGAGAGAATGTTGGCGGAGAATGCCGGCGACTAAAAACTGTAGGGGAGGGCCAAACTAAAAACATTTACTTTTTAAGTTTACTATCACTTCAAATAAATCACACAGCTGGCATTATGTAATCGTGGACCGTATCGACCCTGAAGAACCGTTTATGTCCCCTAAATAGTAAAAAATCATATTGGGTCTAGTTTCCTTCTACATTGTTTTGCTACAGTTCCACAAAAATATCTCATCTTACTGCACTCAATTATTCGACTCAATGTCGATATTATTTCTTTTTCGTGTATCAGCCTTTGAATACTTGATAAAAGAAGAAATTATAAGTGCAAAATCTGTCCTTAGTAGTTGAACGGGAAATTTTTGCATCAGTTTTTTTTCTTCCATTCGTAACGGAAAGATTCTCAGACTGCAGACTAAGATTCTGTTGACTTGGGTTTAGAGCGAGTACTTTTTGAGCCAATAGAAATAGTCATTATATATTATTTATTACTATTTGTCAAAATAATATCAATTTTTTGATAACATTACTACACCATACTATCTATTTCGATCTCGAGTTAATACTTACCAGAAAAGAAACAATATTTTGCACAAAAAGTTGAATTCTTCTCTGTTTGTCGTTAACTCGACTCCATTTTCTGCAGTTGCAAATATTGTTAAAAGCTTGCAGAGACTTTCGACTGCGTTTAGTTCAGGAATTGGAATTGTTTCGGAGCATTTCTCTTTTTTAAAAATGAGCAATTCATCCACGAACTGATGAAATAATTTTTTCATTTCTTCAACGAATTCTGGAGCATTAGGGTAATTTTGGAGCCACGAGTTGACAAATGGTTGCCATCCTAGTTGCTGGTAATCATTGTACACCATGCCGGCCCGTGACACGGTAGCAGGGGAAGCTACTGCTAAATCTTGTACTTCAAATAGTAATGACACCTGCTTGGGCATTATTATACGTTCGTTGTTGACCAGAGTTAAGATTCTGTTATCATCCATTACGCTATTCATGTTCTCGATCCAAAGAGCATCAATTGGACCATCGAAAAGTATCCATTTCTCATCGAAGCTCTCATCTATAAAGATTGTTCCATTTAAGAAGAATGTAATTACCTTCTCAGACCATACTTTAGAAATTCTATCGCTCCTTAAGCCGATTATGTTAGACAATTTGTATGTAAGTTTTTAATTCAGAAAATTTTAACACAATTTACGGATAAACAGTTCCTTTAGTTTCATTATTATCTGCAAAGTAAAACACCCTGCAGTTTATCGTATTGAGTCCTTTAGAGATTAAGCACACTTTGAATTGATAATCTCATAGATGACGTTGGAAATCAGATTAAGGCCGACATGGAATGATTTTTCTGTTCCCCAGATAAAATTAAAAAAAAAAAGTAAGAATCTCTACCAAGAATTAGCAACGTTCACCAGATCAGGAGACGCAGTAGTGTCTCTAGACAAGTACATACCGACCAAGTTTCTACGCGTTCACTGTCTTTCGCCCTAGCTACTGCACTACTATACGCCTACATTGAATGGCGGAAAAATAAAATTAATGTTTTCCAAAAATATTGAGATTTATCATTAAGATTATCATCAAGATTATATAATTAAGATTGTTTTTCTTCTTTTAATATCCTCAATTTATCACAATCTTCAGGTTAATCATGAAACAAAAATATTCTAATGCATTTCTAATTATTAAAAACTAGAGATCAAAAATCTACTCTTTACAAAAGTTGCACAGTTGTGTAAATCACATAGACGTGCAGCTATGGACACTGTGTCCGTTATTCTCATAGCACTGTACCGTTGGATATGAATATCTCGAAAACTATTGAAAAGTTATCACGACATTCAAACTTCGTATCATTCCGAATTCTATAACGAATTATACGGCCATTGCATGAGCTCTGTAAGTTGAGTAATTCTCCAGAAATCACTGTTAGATTGATGGAGCACACAGGTTGGTCGTACAACGTGGTGCATCTCTGTTTCACGCACGAGCACGTCCGTACAGCGTTCGATCTTCCGAAAGCGATGGAGACGAATGTGAACGTGCAACAGATGTACATTAAATTCGCAGGATACCTCGCAATTGGAGTTTTTAATTTTCAACTTCCCTACAGGAAGTTATTAGTTTCACCCCGAGAATAAAAGATCGTAACTCTTTAAATTTAACATGATTCTACTTTTATCTTATGTAATATTAACAAAAGGGGCAAAAAATCATAAAAAACAAAAAATATTTGAATTGACTGCTTTGTCCTGCAAAAAGGCAGTCAAATGAAGAGAATGCTACAAGTCCTCAAGTTTGTCGTGTGCTAAGTTGAAGACGGAAATCGATGACTTGAAAAGCAAAAGTGGAAGAAAAATGGAATAAAAACATAAACCAATAAAAAATTCAACTATTCAAGAAAAAAAGGTCCCAAGTAGGGTTTGCCAATCGTCAATCATTGGACCAATGCTTGGTTAAGATCTGGCGTACATACTATTGTAACCCAATAATGGGCAAAGATTG